AAGCATCATAACCTTTCAACCCTCTCACTTTATCTCATTCTTCCCATGCGTGTACTTTGCCTAATTTCTAATACTTATGCTCTAGGGGGTGCTGTAACTCCATGTTTGAAAGAGACGGTCTAACTTCCTGAAACAAATAGCAGAAATGCATTCAAGGCAAGGCTGGAAAAAGGACTAGAGGGATAGGTTAGATGAAACAACAATGGAAGGAGACTTGTGTGGAGGCTAAACTGTATCACATACTATTTAGGCAGAATGATCTGCTATGTACACTAACTTCTGAACAAATATAATTTATAAATAAACAACATTGTACAAGTTAGTCAGTGAATAGAGAAAAATTCAGGAATCTGTTCGCAGTATTGTAAATTAAATAAAATGCTTGATCTAGGAACGTTATTTTAACATACCAGATTTTTGTTTGGTAGTCTTTTATTTTTATGGTTAAGCGTAGGTGTTAGTTTGGTGCAAAACCTTGAGCATAAGATGCAAAAGTCTGTTTATTTATTGTTTCATCTTTAGATTACACCTGATTCTAAGATCTCCATACCAAAGCTACCCAATGTGGGGTTGGTCAGCAAAGCAAAAATGCCAGCGACGTCTAACATTGTTCCGAGTGACATGGTGAACTTGGGCTATGGGAAGCAGCTCAACCATCGGACTCTCTGCATTCCCACCTGCCGTATCAGTGAATCTGTCCAGAAACTGATAGAATTGGCGTACCGGACACTCTCTGAGGCCACGAGTGCCACACCTGAATGGCAAGTAATTCTGTGCATTCACTCACTAACAGTAAGCGATGCGTGTTCTTTAGGATAAAAATAATTCTTCATTTTCGATGTCCCACCCAGGCTGATATGAATAAAAATGTATGCTCAAGGCAAAATAAAACAAAAAATTCTGAAACTACAATTGGCCTATTAAAATTTGTCAAAATTGGCTAAAATTTTGTTTTTACATCCTCAGATCTTTTTCTTGGACTGTAATGATGTAGATTAGAATAGTTTTTCTCAACTCAAGCATTGAGTTTTAGCCATATTCTTAAAGCTGTTTTACAGATGCTTGCTCATGTGTTATGTTTGATGTAGTGCCACCTGAAAAGCTGTAATTATAGTTGATGGGGAATCCTAACTGGGAGAAAAGAAATTTCAGGGAACTCTCTTTGCATCACATCAGGATTTTTAAAAATAATTCATAGACACCTACCACTTAGAAGGCCATTTGGCCCATTGTATCTGTGTATCATTGTATCTATTTCAAAGAGGTTTTGTTTAGACCTTTCCTCAACTCTTGTCTATAGAGTGGGATGGTTCTCATCTGTTATATACTGCCCTCTGAGATTCTGCTTAATGATTGATGTGTGCCTGCAAACGATGATCAGAAGTGCTCTTATGCTTGGCATCTGCTTCTTTGCATATGCACAACTATTCTATTCTTAGAATCAAATTGAAAATAAAAATGATCTATGTCTGCCAGTTATAAACGACTAAACATTTGGAGTGGGACTATAACTTTGTGTATTATTTTGAATCCTGTTACCTGAAGCAAGTAGCTGCCTGCTTAGACTATTGCCTCCAGTGAAGTGGAACAGGGTGGGTCTTTATAACTGCTGAAGTTTCCATGCATTGAAATATTACAAATGATTAATCATCTTTCACGTTTTTCTTATGTCATGAGCTCATTCAGTGCATGTCACACTGCGTTCAATATGTCAAGCATTAGAGATGAGACTTGTGGTGGAAAACAGATCTTATCTATTTCTCATGTGGGTTAATAGAAAGAAGGAGCTTGTGTTTATAAAGCTTTTTATGTCCTCCAGGTGTCCTGAAGTGAATAGCAGCCAATGAAATATTTTTGAAGTGTAATCATTGTCGTGAAGTGGAAGCCTGCTCTCACTGCTAATTTTGCAAGTTAGCGCTTTAACCTGAAGGCTTGTGATAGCCGGTGGCAAGTAGGAAAATGTTGCACTTGTCATTATGTGGACATTTTCAAAGTTTGATGCATTGCTGGCCCTGGTGTGCATCAAACGGTGCTATATTTCACTTGATAATACGAGATGTTCCAAACAAGGCAAGTCTTTTCTGGATGAATATCCTTCAGTTTAAAGCCCATAATTTAGAAAAGTTTGTTTTTATTTTAAGAAAAGTTCAGGGTCTGTAATTTATTAGTGCATTGTTAGCCAAATTAGATTGGGAAAGTGGAGATTTCGGAGTCCTGGGTGTCCTTGTACACCAGTCGCTGAAAGTAAGCAGGTTGGTGCAGCAGGTGTTGAAGAAGGCAAATTGTATTGAGAGGATCAAGAAATAAAGTTGTAAAATTTCAATACTTGCAATAGTCAGTTGGTGTCTTTATTACACAACGGAGGATCAATGCTGGACAGTTCAGGCATTTCGCCACCGAGATTCAAATGAGCACAGTTTATATAGGGTTTCATTATAAATTATATTATTTAGGTAAAGGCTACAGCACAGAGGCCTTTGGTGGGCTGATTATTGTAATTCTGTGCATTAATTGCAATGCAGAGACTTGGTATTGTCCTTTCAGAGACAGTAAGGAATGTGTGTGTATTCTGCATAAAATCTTTACAAGGGTGTATTGATGTGGTTTGGGACCTTTAGACAACGTGACAAAGACCTTCCTATTTCTTAATTAGGTTATCTTGTGCATCGTTCATGTGTCTCCCACACCTTAATTGGTCAGCCCCATTTTTGTGTATGCTTTAGCACCCACCTGCTGGTCCTGGAGTGCTCGAGCAGAGATGTCTTGCTGCTGATCTTGAGGGAGTACAAGCAAAGTTTACTGGATTGATTCCTGGATTGGCAGGATTGACGTATGAAGAAAAACTGGATTGGTTGGGATTATATTCACCGGAGTTTAGAAGAATGGGGGTGATCTCATAGAAATGTATAAAATTCTAACAGGATTGTAGACAGGGTAAACACAGGAAAGATGTTCCTGATGTCTGGGGTGTCCAGAAACAGGGGTCTTGTTCTAAGGATGTGGGATAGGCGATTTAGGACAGAAATGAGGAGAAATTTATTCACCCAGACAGTATTGAGCCTGTGGAATTCCCTGCCGTGGAAAGTGGTTGAGGCTAAAACACTGAATGTTTTCAAGAAAGAGTTAAATATGGCTCTTAAGGCTAAAGAGATCAAGAGAAGGAAGCAGGAACAGGAGTTGGATGATCAGCCATGATCATATTGAATGGCAGAACAGTTTCAAAGGGCCGAATGTCCTGTTGCTGCCCGTGTTATCTCTGTTTCTAAATATAGACCCCCATGTCTGATGAGGCCCTCTTCTGATAGATTACAGAGGGTCCCTGATTTACAAACGTCTGATTTAAATCTTGTAATTACAAACATAGTTCCAAACGGGATTGCAAACTTAAAAGATGTTATGTACAAATGTTTCTTGTACTTACGGGCTATTTTATATTGTCCTGCGTTGTGCTCTGACTTACCTATAAATTGACTTGCGAATAGGCTCAAACAGAACCTAGGGACCGCCTGTATAAGTGGAAGTTATTATAATCACACTTGTGTTATTACATGGTAAACTTTCATATTACAGAGATTTTTATGCTTGGGGTTGTAAGTGGATAAGAATTTTAGAATGATTGTCAGAAAATGTGCAGCAGAAACCTATATAACTTGTGCATTGCAAATGTATTTAGGTTTCTAAATTGAAGGATTATTTTTACTATAAATCTAGATATTTTTGTTGCTGATCTTTTGGTAATGTGCTTGAATCTTTGCTAGTCTGGTGATGACATTCACGGAATTCAACTGCTCAATGTCTGTTTCAAATCTGAGAATCACGTTACATAGAACACACGAAGTGGTTGTACACTAATATTGTTGACACTGATTTTTTTTGGAGTGGGCAAGTGCAACAGGATATTGAATTGTGGATCCAGAAAAACCAAGTGATAGGTCTTTAAGGATGTTTTAGTGCTGTGTTTTTAGGCCACGAGGTGGTGCTAAGGTTTAGTTCTTTCAATATAATGATTTACAGTGAAAAATCAAATTTAAAAAGTTGTTGCTTTCTCAAAGTGAACTGTTTTTTTTCCTACAGTCAGCATATGCTGCTGAAGGTATTCTTTTCAAGAAGTGTTGCTCTGCCATTACCACCGCTAGTGTTATGCTGCCATCAAAGAGAGCTTCCCTCTCTTCCCCTTCCAGCATTCCAAAGAGATGGTTTCCTGTGCAACTCCTCAGTTTGATTACTCCATCCCATGACGCCTTCCTGTGCAACTACTGGAGATACAATATTTGCCCTTTTCACAGCTTCCTTTGTTCTCTCTCTCCTTTTCTTTCTTGTTCATGGGTGTATGATTTTATTTCTTTTGGTTGTTTCTTGTCCAATTTACCACTCCCTTTGGCCTTGAACTTTGGACTATTTTCTCACTTAATTTCTTTTACCTTCCTTATGTTTTCCTCCCCTTCTCCAGATGCCCCTAAAGCCAGTCAATGAAAATTTATTACATAAAATCCGAAAGAACTGCGGATGCTGTAAATCAGGAACAAAAACAAAGTTGCTGGAAAAGCTCAGCAGGTCTGGCAGCATCTGTGAAGAAAAAATCAGAGTTAACATTTCGGGCCCGGTGACCCTATTACATCTCTAACTTTTCCAAGTTCTGATAAAAGAGTAGTAACCTGAAAGTTAAACGTTTTACATCCACTATTCTGTCATATCTGTTGAGTACTTCTGACATTTTCTATTTTTAAATTTGTTTTCTAACAGTTACGTACGGTGTTTTGATTTGTATTTCAGTGCCATGCAGCTTTTCTACACCATTAGAAACATGTTCCACTTGTTCTACGATGTGGTACCTACCTATCACAAGTAAGTATTTTATAACACTTTTTAAAAATGATTTTTAAATTCTTTACACCGTTGAATTTGCAGAGTCATTACTAAATTTGCTGGTGCAGTAGCTTGGCCAAATTGCTGATTAATGTAATGGTGTTTTCAGCCTATTTAGGGAAGTCAACTGCATGGTCCCTAATACAGGCAGAAATTGACTTGCACGTAACTGAGAATCATCTGATCCACCTTGGTATGTTTAAACAGCCTAAATATGTGTTTGCATTTTCATTTCCTCCCACCCAAATAAGACACTTATAATTATAGGTTTACAGGGAAATTTATTTACAGTGAAGAAATCCATTTGTCAAGTTTACAGAAAAAATATTGGGACTTGATATAACTTTAACCTACGATGGATCACAGCTTGATGAGGTAACGAGCAAGTTAGAAAAGGAGAACCAGTAAAAGTGATCTGTTTGGATTTCCAGAAGGCCTTTGACAAAGAGAAGGCTTTTCTCTTATTTAGCAGTCTCTTGTGCAGCACTTTGTCAAAGGCCTTCTAGAAATCCAAACAGGTTGGCTGTTCTGGTTCTCCTTTTCTGACTTGTCCATTGATAGCGGATTGGCTCACTGGCAGAAGATGGAGAGTAGGGTGAAAGGATCTTTTTCAGGATGGCAGCTGGTCACTAACGGAGTTCCGCAGAGGTCAGTATTGGAACCACGATTGTTCACGTTCTGCATTAATGATCTGGACGAAGGAACTGAGGACATTTGTTGCTAAGTTTGCACATGACACAAAGATAGGTGGAGGGACAGGTAGTGTTGTGGAAGTGGGAGGCTGCAGAAGGATTTGGACAGGCTAGGAGAATGGGCAAAGAAGTGGCAGATGGAATACAATGTTGGGAAAGTGTGAGGTTATGCACTTTGGTAGGAAGAATAGAGAATAGACTACTTTCTAAATGAAGAAAGACTTTGGAAATCTGAAGCACGAAGGTTCATTTGACAGTTAGGAAGGCAAATACAATGTTAGCATTCATTTCAAGAGCGTTAGAATACAAAAGCAGAGATGTATTGCTGAGGCTGTATAAGGCTCTACTCAGACTGCATCTGGAATATTGTGAGCAGTTTTGGTCCCCTTCTAAGGAAGGATGTGCTGGCCTTGGAGTTGGTCCAGAGCAGGTTTACAAGGATGATCTCAGGGATGATTGGCTTTGTAAATGAGGAATGGTTGAGGACATTGAATCTGTATTTGATGGAGCTTAGAAGGATGAGGGGAAGGATCTGGTTCAAATTTGCAGAATACTGAGAGGCCTGGATAGAATGGACATAGAGATGATATTTCCACTAGTAGGAGACACTAAGACTCGAGGCACAGCTTCAGAATGAAGCTCTTGCACTGGCCTGCAATGTACTTTTAAAATTGCCAAATATTTTCTCAAGCATCTTATTTTCAAGTGAACTAGCAACTTGATTTGACTGTTTAGGACTGATTGTTTTTGCTTACTGTTCTCAGTGAAGACTGATTTTACATTCTCCAGAGACAGCGTACAAACAAAATGTCACAATTCAACTTCTGAAACTTCAATTTTTAAATGCAGCGTTGAGACAAAAACACACCAGACATGTTTTGTTATGTTGCTAGGTCCATACCCCAGGCGAGTCTCCCTAATTTGCTCTGGTTTCAGGTGGGTACCCCAAACTGAGAAACTCCCAGTTTGGAAGGGATGAACTGGTTCTCCTCTATTTTCACGCTGCCTCAGTTGGTTGCAACAACATTATATTAATAAACAGATCCTTTTTCTTGTGGATTCCTTTTAACCAGACCAAATAAACTTGTATTTTGAATGGGTCCAATTTAACCAAGTTTTGTTGAGTTAAAAAGTAGTGAGTTTATTATGTAGTAAATGCCAGGCGAATTAATCATGTCACACACATTAGAAATAAAAGCTGTGTACAAAAAGATAGAAGTTTAGTAAAACACGGCTGTATGAATCAGTCTCTGAATTGTTTTTCCAAGAATGGCTAATGAATGTTGTAGCCTTTGCAGTGGAGGTTACCAAAAGCAATGATATTCATAGTTGGGCAGTTAGTTTCAGGATTCTTATTTTTGTCAATTGGTTGAAGTTCTATAGTTCTGAATCATTTCTGCCATGAGTTAATTCAGTTCTTTCGTTGTCAGGTAACTTTATTTTAACTGATTTGCCACAGTGTGAGTAAGGAAACATCTTTACCTGCAACACTGGGGTAATTAGGGGATAGCACTTCAAGTATGGTTTTCATTGTGCACTAATGCTTGAACCTAGACTGGTGCATGTGAGCACATTCAATTCCACTAACACACGTCAGTAGTGTTGAAACTGAATTTTTAACCCCTGTTCTTGTGCATCCTTCAAAATGAGAAACACAAAATGAGTCTACAGTTCAAGATATCATCTGCATTGGAATGGTTTGCTGTTGAGCAGGGCATGCCAGCTGCTTGTTATCTTTGTAATTGCTCGAGATCACAGTCGACTCTGTGAAGTTTCTTTGAGATTATAGATGTTACATTCCATCACTTGGTCTCTCCAGATAACCATTAAGTTATATCCACAGCCATTTATTGCTTTATCAGCTGTCTTTTATAAAACATATTTTGAAATTACAAGCCAAAAGTGTTCATAAGGTTTTGACCTATGATCATGACAATATGAAAACCAAAGAACTGTGGATGCTGTAAATAGGAATCAAAAACAGAAATTGCTGGAAAAGCTCAGCAGGTTCTGCAGCATCTTTGGAGAGAAATCAGAGTTAACGTTAACGTTTCAGGTCGAGTGACCCTTTCTCAGAATACAGTTGCCAGATCTGCTGAGCTTTTCCAGCAATTTCTGTACTTGTTGATCATGACAATATGTCTGCCTTTGAGCTCATGGGTTAGGTGAGAACACATTGTCGTCATTTGGACCTTTAAATAGTGGAATGATAGAGACCTACACTGTCTCCAAGTCAAACAGCAACTCAGTTTTAAAATATCTGCACTTCTCAATTCTGGTCTCTTGTGCATTCCCAATTAAAGTTGTCCAACCATTGGTGGCCATGCCGTCAGTTGCTAGACTCTAAGATTTGTAATTCAGTCCCGATGCCTCATTTTCCTTCTTAAACTTTAAATGTGAATTGATGTTGGGTATTGTGAAGAACTTGCAGCGCAGAAAAAAGGTTTTTAGTTCAAGAGGTTCTTGTTGGTATTTATGCTTTTCGCATGAATTTCCTGTTCTTTTCTGCCTTGTTTTTAATCTATCATTTTAATATGTAAATCTACGTTGTCATGGTGGAGACGATGTTGTAGCAATAAAGTCACTGATCTCGTAATCCAGAAACCCAGGCTAATGCACTGGGAGATACAGGTTCAAATTCAACCACAATAGCGTGTTCATTAATTCCTTTAGGGAAGAAAATCTGCTGTCCTTACCAAAACTGGCCTATATAGAACTCCAAACCCGCAGCAACTAGTTCAAAATAGCTTAGTTGAAGTGAAATTAAAGATAGGAAACAGATGTTAACCTTCTGTTTTTTTTGCTCATACCCTGTAAAGATATAAAGATGAATAAAATTAATTGGCCTTTCTTTAAGTCATTGCATTAGAAATTCTATTTAAACTTAAGATTTCTTAATGTCGTGGAAATAATGCTGTATTGTGATTTTGCTTAAAGCTGCATTTGTGGAAGTGTCATTGCAAACATTAGCAAAAGCTTGAGTTGCATTTGATCTTTTTATCCATCTATTTAATTCATCATCAAGGTTAAGATGGTTATTGAATGTCAAGTCCTTTCCAGTTGTCATTTAGTTGTTTGTAGAAGTTGCAGTATTGTGGTAATTTTAAATTGCTTTCCTTTTCTCATTTAGGGATACATTACAGAAGTTGCCACAGTTGGCTGCTATCCACCACAACAATTGTATGTACATTGCCCACCACCTGATCACCTTGGGACACCAGTTCCAGTGCAACCTGCCAAGTCCTTTGTGCAATGGAGCTGCCACCTTTGTAGATTTTGTGCCAAGTTTTAGGCGATTAGGTGCGTGGCTGGATTTCTTTTCACTAATTATTGAACCCGATAATGATCTAGGATTTCTGAAGTATTTCCTAAAATAGCATAACAGCAATGATGATCCATAATTTATTGTGTTAGAAGTAGAATTGAATGTGATTGCAAATATCTAGGCTTCAGTTACAAGAATGGTGAATCAAATTTGTTGCTGTGATATTTTAAGATTAAATTTAAAAATTTGCCTTGCTCCTCTAAAGAATAAGAACTTAATTAAACATTAATATTGTGGATTGTTTTTGTGACAATGTTGACAGTGAATTTTCTTGCTTTACTTCTGGGTATATTCTAAAGTGAAAATTTACATTAGAAGTGAGAGAATTCCTTTGTGGTTGTGGATGTGCATTCCACCACTCTGTCACCACAGTTATGAAGCTATAAGCTAGCTGAAAGATTGTCAAGAATTTCAAACCCAATAAGCCTGCAAGAATTGATTGCAACATCACAATGAGTGACTCTGTAGGACTAGTTTAACCTTCAGTAGTGTTCAGAACATAAGAACTAGGATCAGGAGTAGGCCGAATGGCCTGCTTCCACACTGTAGAGGCTCTATGATTCTATGTGATGATTCTAAACTTAAATAAGGATAATTATAAATGAATGAGAACAGAGTTGCATGGAGTGTAAAGGAACTTAGCAGAAAAGAAGGTTAAAAAACAATGACAAATGTTTAAAAAATGTTCATGACTCGCTACAAATATATATCACAGTGAGGAAGAAGGGTTCTAGGAAGGAGATAAATCAACTGTAGTTAACCAAGGACATTAAAGATGGCATCAAATTGAAAGAAAAAGGGAAACAGTGTCGCAAAGATTACTGAAAAGATAGACATACAAACCAGCTGAAGATGACCACAAAAGAAGATGATGGAGAAAATAAACATTGAGGGTAAACTAGGAAGTAACAAAAATGGATAAAAAGATATATAGACTTATTTATGTGTTAATATATTGCATGTATATATTCCAATATATAAAAAGGGAGATACAGGCCAGAGTGAATACAGGCTGTTTAGGGAATGAGAGTGAAAAATAATAGGGAAATAGGAAATGGCAGAGGAGTTGCAAATAATCCTTTGCATCAGTCTTTGTGGTAAAAGACAGTCATAGCATTCCAAAGATACTAAGTAACCAAGCGTCAAAAGTGGGGGAGGAAATAAATCTAATAACTATCATTGGAGAAAATGTATGAGGGAAGCTGATATGACCCTGGACCAGATGGCTTGCATCCTAGGATATAAAGGAATTAAGTGCCAAGATAATGGATACACTAGTAGTAATGTAACAATATACCTTAGATTCCAGAAAGGTCCCAGATGACTGGAAAACTGCCATTGTAACACCCTTACTCGAAAAGGAGAGGCACAGAACTATAGAGCAACAACAAAAACAAATTGCTGGAGAAACTCCAGGTCTGGCAGCATCAGTGGAGAGAAAGCAGAGTTCAGTCTTGCCACACATCCTACCAGACCTTCCAGCATCTGCAGCTCTTTGTTTTTTTTTAAACTAAAGGTCAATTAGCTTAACATCTGCCATTGGGAAAATGTTGGAATCTATTATAAAGGATATCATAGCAGAGCATTTGGAAGTATATAACATAATTAGCAGAGTCAGCGTGCCTTCAAGAAGGGGAAGTCATGCCTGATAAATTTGTTAGAGATTGTTTGAGGAGATAACGTGCAGAATAAATAAAGGGGAAGCAGAATTTGCATTTCCAGAAGACTTTCAATAAGGTACCATACCTGAGACTATAAGAAGAGAGCTTATGGTGTTGGGGGTAATATTTTAGTATTATTGACGATTGTCCTAAGTAATGCAAAATGAAGGGGCTAAGTGTACTTCTTATGTAGCAACCTGTAACTAGTGATGAACCACAGGGATCAGTGCTGGGGATCACTATTATTTATAATATATATTAATGTCATGGATGGTGGAAGTGAATATATTGTCGCCAAGTTTGTGGATAGCACAAAAATAGGTGACAGCATCTACAGAGGAATACAGAATTGCAAAACCTCAACAATTGAGATATACTGTGGAAAAGAATGAGAGGTATGCACTTTGGCAGGAATAGTAGAGGAGCTGAAGATTATTTAAATGAAGATAGACTGCAGACAGCCGCAGCACAGGGATTCGGGGATTGTCCTCATGCATGAGTTACATAAAGGTAACAAAGAAATTTAGCAGGTAATAGGGAAAACAAATGGAATGTTGGCCATTGTTTCAAAGGGAGTGATATATAACATATGGAGCAAACACACTAGAATATGCTGAAGAAACTCTGCAGTGTCTGTGTAGAGAGGAATAGTCAATATCCTGTCCTGAGTCCAGAACAGTTCTCTTGAAGAGTCATGTTGGACTCAAATTGTTAACTCTGTTTCCCTCTCCAAAGGTACTGCCAGACTTGTTGGATTTCTTCAGCATTTTCTGTGTTTATTTCAGATTTCAGAATTTTCTGTGTTTTGTTTTTATAAAAATAGGAAAGTCTTGCAAAACTATGCAAGGCACTATTTAGAACACACCTAAAATATTGTGAATGGTTTTGGTCCCCTTATCTAAGCAAAGATAAATTGGCATTGGAGGCTGTCCAAGAAAATGTTAATTTGGTTGATCCTAGGTGTGGAGGGATTTTCTTATGAGCAGACCTTAAGTAGGTTGGGCCTACACTTACTTGAGTTTAGAAGAATGAGAGGCAATTTTATTGAAACATAGGATTTTTAGGAGGCTTGATAGGTTAGATACTGAGAGGCTGTTTCTCGTGTGTGGGAGAGTCTAGGATCAGAGGGCATAATCTCAGAGTAAGGGGTCTCCTTTTAAGGACAGAAGAGGAGGAATTTCTTTTCTCAGAAAATGGTGAATCTGTGGAATTCTTTACAGCAGAGTGCCTTAGAGGCTGTATTATGTATATTCAAGACTGAGACACAGATTTTTAATTGGTAAAGGAATCGAGTTATGGAGAAGAGGCAGTAGTGTGGACTTGAGGATTATCAGATCAGCCATGATCTCAATGAATGGTGAAACACACTTGATGGGCCAAATGGCTGACTTTAGCTCCAATACCTTATGGTATTCCCTCCATCCCACCACCTGAAACTGCAGTATTCCATGTTTGACAGTCAGTTTGATTTAATGATAGTTTTAGTGTTGTCATAGTAGTAGTCTTACCCTTTGAGTTCTAGCCGAAATTTCTATCTTAAACATCACCAAGCCACATGAACTGTTCATTCTTATTTGTGACCTTGTTCTGCAGAACATTAAGAATGTCATAAGTGTTTTAAATGCATTTTTTTCTGTGATGACCATAAGACCATATAGGAGCAGAATTAGACCATTTGGCTTATTGAGTTTGAACTGTCATTCGATCACGGCAGATATGTTTCACAATGCTGTTCTCCTGCCTTCTCCCTGTAATATTTGATCCTGTTACTAATCAAGAATCTAGCTATCTGTGTCTTAAAGACACTCAATGAGTTGTCCTCCACAGCCCACTGCAGCAATAAATCCCAGAGATTAACCACCCTCGGGCTGAAGAAATTCCTCCTCATCTCAGTTCTAAAGTTGTGCATTCATTCTGAGGCTGTACCCTTGGGTCCTAGTCTCTCCTATTAGTGGAAACACTTCTCCACATTCACTCTATCCAGTAATCTAAGTTTCAATCAGATATCTCCCTCCCCCATCCTTCTAAATTCCATCGAGCATAGACCCAGAGTACTAAATGCTCTTCATATGACAAGCCCTTCATCCTTTACATCAGTCTAGTAGACCTCCTCTGGACCCGCTCCAATGCCAGCATGTCCTTCCTTAGATATGGGGCCCAAAACTACTCAAAATATTCAAAATACGGTCTGACCAGAGCCTATACAGCCTCACCAGCACATCTCAGCTGTTATATTCTAGTGCTGTCAAAATGAATGCTAACACTGCATTTGCCTTCCTAACTGCCAACCATACCTACGTGTTAGTTTTAAGAAAATTCTTAACTAGGACTCCCAAGCCCTTTTGTGCTTCAGATTTCCGAAATCTTTCTCCATTTAGAAAATAGTGCCTCTATTCTTCCTACCAAAATGCATAACCTCATGCTTTCCCACATTGTATTCCATCTGCCACTTCTTTCCCACCTTCCTAGCCTGTCCAAGTTCTTCTGCAGCCTCCCCACTTCCTCAGCACCACCTGTTTCTCCAATTATCTTTGTTTCATCTGCAAACTTAGCAACAATGCCCTCAATTCCTTTGTCCAGATCGTTAATGTACAACATGAATAGTTGTTGTCTCAACATGGACATCTGTGGAACACCACTAGTCACTGGTCGCCATTGTGAAAAAGACTCCTTTCTCCCTACTCTCTGCCTTCTGCCTGTCAGCCAATCTGCTATTCAAAAAAAGAACAAGAACAGAAATAGCTGGAAAAACTCAGATCTGGCAGCATCTGTGGAAGAAAGTAGAGTTAATGTTTCGGATCCAGTGGCCCTTCTTCAGATCTTCTAATAATGCCACTACCTTACCTCTAACACCATGGGCTGTTTATCTTATTTAGCAGCTTTCTGTGCGACGTCTTGGCACAGGCCTTCTGGAAATCCAAATAGATCACATCCACTGGCTGTCCTTTGTCTAACTTTCAGGATTCCATTACTCTTTGCTAAGAAGTGAAAAAAAGTCACTGTCGTTTCTGAACAATTTGGTTTCTTCCTTCAAATGCCACCTTCTCCTGTGTCACAATTAAGAATTTGGCACATAAAAGAAGAGTGAGCTTTGCTGAGTTTTATTTTTCTCTTAAGGCCTTGACGTATTTAGTTATTATGAAATGGTATGAGTGGAAACTGTGCAAAGAAATAAATCGGGAGAGATAATGTACCTCAGAATATTATACTTTAAAAAAAGTTCCACTTAGATTGTGGTGTTCCAACATTTTTTTGACTTATAATTATACTTTTATTCCTGTTTCTGCTCCAAAATGAAGTTGGTTTTGAAACATTGAAAATAAATTGTATACTAGTTGAATAGATTTTAATTTACAGATTTTTAAAAGTAAATGTTACCATAAGTAGTAAATTTTGAGTGTGAAGTCAAATCAGAATCAAATTGTTGTTGGGTATGATGGATTTGGGAGTTTTACTACAATAAATTGCCTTTCTCAAAAAAAAAGTGCATTTTTCAAACCATTTTTTTAAAATGGCATCATGTTCCTCCTTGCCAGGAACGGAGTGTTTCTTGGTGCAGTTGCGTTCCCAAAGAGATGAGTTACTGGAAAGGTTGTCGAATGCGAGAAATCTTTCGAGCTTGGATGATGTGGATAATTACACAGCTGCAAATAAAGCAGTCCGGCAGGTTGGATGTTATGTTGCAGTTTGCATGTTCTTTCAAATTTGTATGGGCATTGGCAAGTTTACTAAGCTAAAAGAAAATACAATGGTGAATGCATAACATCTGAAACAAAATTGAAACATTTTATACAATGTCATACAGAGATCTGGTCTCCCGCTTACACTGCAGATATTGATTCAATGAAGGTTGAAAAAATTTTAAAAGAATCAGACTGGAATTGAGATATTAACAACTATCAGGAATGACTGTGCAGGATGGATCATCTTATTTTCTTTCAAATAGCTGAAGTTGTGGCCTGATGCAATAGAGATCATTAAAATTATGAGGGGATAAAAATAGAATGTTGGAGAATCTCGGCAGGTCTGGTAGCATCTGTAGAGAGAAAGCAGTTAACATTTCGATTCCTGTTTTGACGAAGTGTCACAGATGCTGCCAGACCTGCTGTGTTTCTCCAGCTCTCTGTTTTTGCTTCAGATTTCCAGCATCTGGAGTCCTGTGTTTAAAATTGAGGTGACTTGTTAACTGGATGTACAGGTTTCTGGTTGCCTGAAACATAGAAATCATTATTTTCAACAGGAAACTCCAGAGAAACTTCTTTACTCTGTATAAGGTGGAATAAAAAGCATTTCAGAGAATTAAAGTGAGGGGAAAGGGAACGAAAAGGATGTACTAATTAACTTACTTGAAAGGGAAGAGAGATGGCTTGTATGGGGTGTAATTCATAGCATGAGCATTTTGGTTAGAGTCAATTTGTGTCCTCTAAAGTAGAGACAGGTTAGCTGTTTTTCCTTTAATTTGTAATTTAGAATATAGACCTACTTGAATAATAGAACTAACAGTGGTTATATCTTACTGTATTCAGGACTTGACTGAATTACCCTATTGGCGTGGGCTGCAACATTCTCAAGAGATTTGAAAAAAAATTCTATTTCTGAAATAACAATGGATTCATTAAAGTTTAAAAATAAGCTGCAACTTGAAGTGTGACCTGCCTTTTCAGTCTGACCAATGTGGTTTCAGCTTTTCAGTGTTTGTACAGTTAATACCTTAACTGTATTTCCATATAAATGCAGTTGACGTCACATGTCAGTCCTTTGTATGGTGTCGGGCAGGGATTATTTGGATATTTATATTATCTCTTTTAAGTCATTGATTTCAGTTCTAAATTCTTTAATATTTTATGAAGGGTTGGTGGGAAACCCTATTAAAGAATTGTGCAAATTTTTGTATCAGTCAAATCTGCTGTTCAAGACTGTCCTATTCCAGCCACCAGTAGAGTTTATTTAAAAGGTTGTTTTTCTGTTTAACTTTTTCAGGTGAGTCATCAGCTAAAGCGATTGGGCAAAGTTTGGCAAGATGTGCTTCCAGTTCATATATATTGCAAATCCATGGGTACTTTACTTAACACAGCAATTACAGAGATTGTGAATAAAGTCACAGCGCTAGAGGTAATTTGGAATGAAGTGGGATAAGATTTTGATCAAGGGCTTTTGGATTCTCAGGACTGGAATTCTAATGTTTCGTCACTGGGTGATGAATGGCTATGTTCATTGGCACAGATAATAATACCACTTCTGTTTGAAGTTCTGACCTAGACATAAGTGTGCTGAAGTTGGGAACCTGAATAGAGTCAAGTTTTATTTTTGTTATGTTTATTTTTAGTGATGTTTTATACATTTAGAGTGTTGTGCACCGTTCTGGTCTTCAGATTTAGAAACACTAGAGAAGGTATAAAAGTATTTACAAGGATGATACCAGAATCAAGAATCTGTAATTGTTGGGAAAGACTGAGTAGTTTAGAGATCCTTCCTTTGGACAGTCAAGGGAGTAAATCTTAAAAATTATAATGGGGTTCACTAGAGTTATAGAAAATATTTCAGCTTGCAGTGTGCCCAGAATTGCATGTCCTTAATATGTCATTTATAGATTCAAAAAGGAATTTGTGAGAAACTTATTTACCCAGAAAGTACTTGGAGTGTGGAATGTTCACAAAGAGTAGTTGAGACAAATTGTATAAGTGCATTTAAGGAAATTTTGTATAATCACATGAAGGAGAATGTAAAGGAGGATATCCTGATGAGGTGAGATGAAGTACAGTTGGAGAATGCTCCTGCGGAACATCATTACTGACATTGAACAGTTGGCTCAAATAAACTGTTTCTGTGCTGACACTAATTCGATGTGGATTTCAGCTGTTCATCAGGGCATTGATTGAAAGTTGGTTGGGGCATAACAACATTTTCCTGCTTTAGTTTTGTAACAGAATTCTCAACATGTGCTAGAATACATAGGCAGAAGTTTTAGTTGGAGGCCCAGTAAACTCTATTATGTAATGTTGCCTTATTGTGTCCAGATGCTGGAGTGGAACAGAACTGTGTAACCGTCTAACCAAATTACTCTGTGTGGTACCAAGAACATTAACCAACCTATATATTAGAGTGGCCTATATCCTATTGTGGTGTGTGGTTATAGATTCTGTACTAATCTTATTAGTTTTGAGTTGACTGTATTATGTTTTTAAGAATTATTCAACCTTGTATGTTGCAGGATATCTCCTCAGAAAGTGCAGACTGCCTTTATTCGTTATGTAAAGTCATACTGGAGGAAGGTCCACAGATCTTCCAGCCACTACCTGAAGAAAGTGAAAACAAAAAGTATCAGGAAGAAGTTCCAGTATATGTCTCAAAATGGCCAAAATTCAAGGAGCTAATGATAGTCCTTCAGGCTAGTCTGCAGGAGTTAGTGGACAGGTACATCCCTAGATTATAAATGGCTCATAAATAAGTACATAATATGTCCTTTCTACAACAATATGTAATAAATGGCTGGTGTAAGCTTTTCCTTTTAACTAATATTCTGTTGAATTGTCCACATTAGCAGCAGAGTTTGCATACGCAACATTTTTTTAATGTGTTGTTTTTTGCCAAGTTATAGTATGTTCTTTCAAAGTCAAATTGGTTTACATTGCATTGGACAAATTGACCAATGCCAGTGTGCTCTCTGTCTTTCTTTTGACTACCCTTCCTGCAGCGCATTTTTCTGTCTTTCTCTCTCTCTCTGCTGCTCCTCCTTCTCTCTCCCCACCACCACCATCATCATCATCAATGGCGGTCCCTCACAGACAAGGAAGACTCTTCCACTCTCAGGGTGAGTCCATAGGCAGCTGTACAGACCACACCACCCCATCCCACTCACCCCAACCACAACCAGTGCCACCATTCTCTACTTGTTCAAGAATATGGCAAGAATAAGAATATATCATCATCTCTGCTTGGTGTAAATCAGATTGTTATGACACGGAGACAGATGGCCAAATCAAATCAACCTCTTTGTCCTTATATTCACAACACAAGAAAGTTAAAAATGCTCAATGATTCTCAAAATTGACCTGTGGTTCCAAACCAGACTTTTTGAATATCCACTACCAGACTTTGTGAATAACTGATCCAGGCACCAGGTTTATAGCTCGAACAAAAGATTTAACAATTTACTAGTAATACAATAGTTTTTGCAGAGCTAAGTTAAACCACAAGATAATCTAATTAATGTTTGTGATTTAACCTCAATCTTCTTTGATTCGAGACCCCCTTTCTCTCAAAGACAGGCAGACAGAGTTATGGGATAAATTAGAATGGAAAAATAAATGAGATGTAACTGGCAAGTTCACTTAAGATGATTCCGCGATCCATAATATTCACGGCATAAGGGACTATATCTTGCTTGGTTTCTGATGACACCGACCTTCCAGTAGACTTTGGGGACGAATCACTTAATTTTTATAACTGAGATTCTGTTCTCTGAACTTTCAATAAGTTGATAAATGAGGAGACAACCAGGGAACAATTAAACTCCTATCCTGTAGCTTTCACAGGTGCAATCCTTCTGACACAGTCCAAAACCAGTTCAAATTTTGGCCTGTCCCAGCTAGACTGACCATCTGCCCATGGGGTCCCACTTAATACTCAACATCAGTTCTGTTCTGGAGAAGATACACCAGACTCAGTTTTAATTCTGTTTCTCTCCGCAGATGCTGCCAGACCTGTTGAGTTTCTCCAGCATTCACTGTGTTTGTTTCAGATTTCCAGCAGCCCCAGTGTTAAACTGAATTAATTTGCAAGTGTGAGCTGGTCTTCCCTTGTTCTGGCACTGATTGGGTGTTCACGTTTCATTTGTGCAACACTCAGCCATGATGTAGAAGTTTAATTGTTCAGTTCAACGGGACAAGCTTAAACCTTGTAACTAATTTACAGAGACAACTGCAACCTTCTGTTTAGTTTTTTTTTGGAGAAGAAAATATCCATATGATAGAAAAAGAATATGAATTGGACATTCATTAAATTCTGTTAGACAAGTTTTTTGTTCCCTATGGAGACTAAATATTTGATCTCGCTATCTGCCAGCTGGGTAAGCATGTCTTTGGCATCCAAGACTAGCATCAGTCCAATGTTGGCTGAAGTGCCAAAGATCAGGAAAAAGCTAGATAATTATTAAAAATAACCCGTTTCTCCTACTGTATTGTGACCTCATTATCAGCTTTGCTTTCTCCAGGGCTTGCCATTATCCATCCCTTTGTCTGCTTGTCTTTCTCTCTCTCTGGGCTCTGTCTCCACCTATTTGCTTACTCCTTTTCCCCCTGCTCCACCCTCTGTCTTTGGTATATATACCACCTTTTCCTAGCTACTGATAGTTCTGGAAAAAGATCACTGGACCCAAAATGTTAACACTGTTTTGTCTCCGCAGATGCCGCCAGACCTGCTGAGTTTCTCCGGCAATTTTTGTTTTTGTTTGATTTCCAGCATTCGCAGTTTTTTGTTTTATTATAGATAATTACTGTGTTTCATTTTAAATAAAGTTACTGTAATCCCAAGAGTGTATTTACAGATGCAAAATAAGAGATTAACAGGGAACACCAGCATTTATTTGCTGTCTTTATCAGAAGTCAACTTCTCACAGCACCTCATATTCGAGTTGAGATGCTTGGGTAAATCGCTGTTCATATTCTGAACCAACAACATACCATAAGCAACAAGATGACTCATCAGTCTTTAATTGCAGGGGATGGTATGTGTGCAGCCAGGGTAATTGGATTCTTGGTATCCATGCCTCGCATCTAAGGATAAAATACTAGATTCTTGTTTAGGTAGATATGTGGCCCAACTGGTCTTGCAGCCTACTCAGTGCTTCCCCCTCTCAAAGGCTCATGCACTGCTCTCCACTGTCAAATGTATAAAATACTAATGAGTTCTTTTGCCTAAAAAGCCAATTTGATGAGAGTATCTTTCATTTACATATTCTTAATTTAATGTTTAAGATATGTTATACTTTAGACCATTTTTGATTTCACTTTATTTTTTGATGTGTTTAGGTGGACTGATGGGAAGGGCCCTTTCGCAGCAGAATTTTCTCCAGTTGAGGCAAAGAGCCTAATCCGAGCTTTGTTTCAGAACACAGAGCGAAGAGCTGCAGCACTGGCAAAAATTAAATAAATATTGTTAAGATTTTCTATGTATTCAGGAATGAAATGTCAATAAATGTATATTTACCTTGTAAACTTTTTAAATTTTGGTCTTAATACTTTTTAAAAGCCATACAAATGCTGAATATTGTAGCAGAATCTTCAAGAAGGCAACTTGTTGTATCAACTGTTGCCTAGAATAAAAACATTGCAAATACTTCCCTTTTAGTCACTCTTCAGATTCTTCCCATGTCATTGTGACAATTATTAGGGCAATTAAATTATTTCAGAAAAAGATCTGCTGGAGGTAGCCCAGAGATGCTTCGCTTGGTTGGTCTGGATATGGAGGTACTGTTCTTGTGAGGAGAAATTGAATATTGAGCCCTGTACTCTTTTTGGAGTTTAGAAGAATGAGACCTGACATTACTGAAACATGCAATTCTTAAGTACTTGAAAGAGTAGATGTGGAGAGGTGGTTTCCAATTATGGGAGAGTCTAGGGCCAGAGGACATAATCTCTGAATAAGGTGTCATTCATTCAACACAGAGATAAGAAGGAATTTCTTAACTCTGGTGTTGGTGAATTGGTGGATTTTTTTTACCACAAAGGGTTACAGAGGCCGATTCGTTACGTGTAATCAAGGCTAAGATAGACCGAATTTTAATTGGCAAGGGAATCGAGTGTTAAAAAGAAAAGGCAGGATAGCAGAGTTGAAGATTATCAGATCAGTCATGATCTCATTAAATGGCACATCACACTCGATGGGCTGAATAGCCTACTTCTGTTTCTGCACCTTAAGGTCTTATTGCCTACTATATCATTCACCTCCAAACCCAGTAATTTAAATTGCACTGGAACTTCTGAGGAGAATTTTTTTGCCAAAAAATAATCTCTTCATTTGGAATCCCCACCTTGGCACTTGGCCTGACCTTTCTGAAAATGTCCCTCTGCCTACTTTCTCATCTCTTTTGACTTAGTTTTAGATGTCTCTTCTAGAAGTTGCAATGTAGGTTGCAGAATGTGATTATATTTCGTTGTACTTAAAGTCATCAAGTTCAAGTTTGATACTGATACAGGATGGAAACCTTTCCAACTATGATAAAAGCAAAATGTTGTGAATCCTGGAGACCTGAAATAGAACAAAGTGCTGTCAAGCTTGACAACATCTGGGAGAGAGAATCACAACGAAACCTTTCCTATCCAGTCGTTGCTAGAATGAATGCCCTTAAGATCAAGGTCACATTTGACCAAGAGTTCATCAAGGAGCCCTTACGAAACTTGAGTCAATAAGAATCAAGGATTAAACTGCTCGTTGAAATGATACCTAATGTAAAGGGTGATTGTTGGAACTCAGCCGTCTCAGTGTAGATCAGAGATAGTAGGAACTGCAGATGCTGGAGAATCCGAGACAACAAGGTGCAGGGCTGGATGAACACAGCAGGCCAAGCAGCATCATAGGAGCAGAGAGGCTGACGTTTGGGGCCTAGACCCTTCATCAGAAAGATCATTTTTGCAGGAGTTCCTTGGGGTAGTGTCCTCCCCCCAATGATCTTTGGTTGCTCCATTGTTAACTTCCTTCTGTCATAGGATTAGAAGTGGTAATGTTCATCTTGTGATTTCTCATGTAGTGAAGCAATCTACATATAAATACTGCAGGACTTGGACAATATCCAAGCTTGGTCTGAAAAGTGGAAAGTAACATTCACATAAATGTCAGGCAATGACCATCTCCAAGAACCTAACCATTGTCCCTTGACGTTAAATGACATTACTATTGCTAAATTTGCCACTGTCAATATCCTGGTAGTTGCCATTGATCAGAATTGAACTGTACTATCCATATAAGTACTGTGGCTACAATAGCAGTTAGAGGCTAGGAATCCTGTGGTGAACTCACCTCTTGACTTAGAGTCACAGAGTCATACAGCATGGAAACAGAATTTTCAGTCCAACTAGTCCACGCTGAACACAATCCCAAATTAAACTAGTCCCACCTGCCTGTTTCTGGCTCATATCCTCCCCAAACCTTTAATATTCAGACTTCTCAAAACCTGTCCACTATCTGAGGTACAAATAAGGAATGTGATGCAATATTCCCATATTTCTGCATTAACGCAGCTCCAACAGCATTCAGACACTTGATGTTATACAGGACAAAGCGGCCTGCTTGATTGGTACCACATTCACAAACATTCACTCCCTACACTACTGACACATAGATGGCACTATGAGATACATTGCAGAAATTTGCCAAGATTCCTTAGACAGTACCTTCCAAACCATCTAGATGACGGGCAGCAGCTGCATGGTAATACTAATACTTGGAAATTCACTTGCACACCATCCTGACTTGCAACTGTATCACCATAGATTCACCTGCTGGGTCAAAATTCTGCAGCTTCCTAACAGATTTGTAGGTGTCCCTACACCCCAAGACTGCGGATGTTCAAGAAAGCAGTTAACACCGTCTTCTTAAGGGCAATTAGGGATGGGCAGTAAATGTCCAGCCAGTGATGCCTATATGCCATGAATGCTTAAGAATAAAATACATGGGACAAGCACATCAGAATTGATCTCTAATTCTTATGAAACCACACTGTCCCTAAATGGGGCATTTTGAGATACCGTGGGATGGCTGTTGTGGGAAATGTTAATGTGAAGATTGCTGTAGGTCATAGGTCATTTAGAGCTAAGGTTAGAGCAGAGTTGGAGTTCCTTTCTAGCGTGGTTGCTTAAAAAGCACTGATTTATCCGAAGTTGAAGATGTGCTCTTCCTTAAAGCCATCATCCTTCGTCTCTAAGCATGAAAATTCACGCAAAAGCTTTGTATAGTTCAGTGAGCTGAGTCACAGTAATGAAATGTTGATGTGCATATTTCTTTTGCTGTCTTTTATACCTGTTCAAAATCAGCCATGCTTAAAAGAGTGCAACAAAAGTGCTCTACTTACATGAATATGTGATGGCTGGGTAACTTGTGATGATCATCTGAAACCAAAAATGTCCTTGAATATAAATTATTTTAGTGAACACTGCGGAATTGGTTTCACTTCACTATTTTTCTTCCCTTAGAATCAATGTTTGCTGTGAAAATACAAGTGACTTCTCAGCAGCCTGGTACTGAACAGTAAATTATGCATATTGAACAAGAATGGTCTCTGAAGAGAGAATTGGTTTGCTTATTAAAAACGTCTTTCATTTATTTATTGATTAAAATTAACTTTATTTATTTTGAAGGATTTAATTGTGATTAAATTCACTGCACAAATCATGCCTTTCCTGGAATCTGCACCTGTGAGTGCTTCAAATGGTATTTACATTAGGAGAAGGTAATTAGTCCACTGAAGAAGGTCACATTATCTCTGTTACTAAAACAAAATACTGCAGAGGCTGGAAATCTGAAATCAGGGTAAAAAGAAGAAAGAGAAGTTAACATTTCAGGTGAATATACTGGGGTGACAAGTCCTAAATCAGCAACTCTGCTGCCTGAGCAACGTTTTCTGTTTCTTATCGCAGACCCTGTTGCATTTTTACCCTATATTTTAATGGCAATAATAGCTGCTATGCACAGCTCTGACCATGGCATCTAGCTTCCATTTGCAAGATGTGTGAATTGTTTTGCTGGAATACTCAGCAAAAAGACAGCTGAACTTGTTCTTGTGTGGTTAAAATTATTGTGCTGCACTGATCAGCAATTAAAATATGGGCTTTGGTGGATCTTAACATCTCGTTCATGTTCTCCTTGTACTGCCTCTGACAACACAGCTTGTTTCTTCAGCTTGGTAATTGCAGTCAATTAAGGACAGATTTTGGACTGTTTTATACAGGCCAGTGCATGCTAGCAATAGTTTAACACCAGCCACTCATTTGCTTTAAGCATCAGAAGAGATTACTTTTGTTCTGTCTCTTTAAGACCAAACCCAGTGGGAAAGTGTTTGAATTTGAGGATGGGGTCACCATCTAATGTTATGGGTTAAGCCATCTAGACCTGAGATGAAAAGAAATTTGTTCCTCCAGAGAGCAGTGAGCCTGAGATTTTATCACCACAGAAAGTGGTTGAGACCAAAACATTCAATGTTTTCAAGTAAAAGTTAAAAATAGTTTTTAATAATTAAAGGGTAAGGGGAGAAAGCAGGAACAGGGATGGGTTGATTATCAACCATGGCCATATTGAATGGTTCATCAGGCTCAAAGGGCTGAATGGACTACTTCTGCTCCTGGTTTCTATGTTTCTTTGAAATGAGAGTGTTACTTCATTGAAATGGGACTGAATTCTAGGATGTCTGAAATTGATTTGGTTTTGTCTTTGCTACCACATTGTATCATTGAAAGATCTGAAAGCTAGCAGAGATATCAATCCCATTTACAGAACTTTAGCTTTCCTCATTTTTGACTAAGCAGATTGACTTCACAGACTGTGGGATCAAATCGTTTCCGCTGTGTAATCTATATAATGGTAATGTGAGCATGAGCCTTTACATGCAACAAGTGACAATAAGCTGGATCTTACTGCCTACCAGAGTTATGGAAGCAGAAACAGATGGACATTTGAATGAAATAAGCCTGCAGTACTTTGGGGATAGAACAGGATTGATTGGATTGCTCTACAAAGAACTGGCATGGGCTGAATGGTCTCCTTCTGGGCCACGATGACTCTCTGGGACAATCTTCAGACTAGAGAACTATGAGATTTTATCACAAGTCCCTCATGTAGGTCTGGGATATTCTGTAAAAGGCCTTTTCCTGCTCCAGGTCGAAGAGGCAGGTGTCTACACCCCTGTCCTGTATGTAGGCAGTTATATCCTTGTGTAACGTGAGACTTTCAGAGATCATCTTGCCTGGTACAATGCAGGTCCAGTCAGGGTGAATCGCCAACCCTACTTTGGAGGCCTCTGATGCTTCCTGGAGATTGTCCTTGATGTTGACCATCTCACGTTTGCAGCAGAGGCTGGTTCTTCAGCTTTTCTGGAGTCAGGACAATTCCATGTCTCTTTCTCTCTCACACTCGCTCTGTCTCTCTCACCTTCCAAAGACTTTTGAGGATGAAGAACTGTTTGATGTTTGCTTTGACTGCATCCCACCAGTGCAGGAGGCTCAAA